TTTGAGGAACATGTCGAAATTGTCTTTGGCCAACTAAAATCAAAATGACAAGACTTAAAAATGACTTGTTTTAAAATGCAAGCAAATGTCATGTGAAGTAAAAATCAGTGACTTTTCTCACCACGTTATAAAACCATTTCAAGTTTTCGATCAAAAATAAGATATTGGACTTTACTCTTCACCTCTTAGATAGCAAAGAAATGCGGGGAAGATATCAAAACAACAATCTGCTTATAAGTATTCCACGCACTAGTCGAGTTTTAACAGCGGAAGTGTGTGCTTACTGAGGACTGGCTTCTCAGAGTAAGAGCCTTAGAGGCATTTATCAATTGAGGAGCGAGTTGTTCCAAGTCATTGGCAGTGACCCTCACCAAACGCACCGTATTCGAATCCGCCCACACACCGCAAAGGCAGAGGGCAGAATCAATCAGATCTGATGTTTGCTGCTGCAACAACATAAAGCTTTTACATCCTTAGTGCTGACTTAGGCTATTTAACTGCTTGCGAATAATGCTTGAAACAACAAACATTGTACAGTATTTCCAGCCCTCACATTGAAATGACATTCAAAAAGCAATCATTGTTGCTGCTACCTTATAACAGTTCATTTAAGTTTTGGTGTTGGTTAGTTTAGATCCAAAAATATGACATTATAAGATGCAAAGAAGTATGAATAGAATACAAATAGCTGGAATATTTACAGTGCAAGCGTTTACCTTCTTCCAAAATACATAATCATATTTTCATCTTTAATCACATAATAAAAATTTTAAAAGAAAACCCCTTCTGCAGCTCTCTAAGACTAGGTGAATCTAACTGCTTTTTCACCCCTTCTACACAGTTTGTATGCATTTAACATCAATACACGGTGAATGATTAGTCTAGATAGAGCTACCTGAATTTCTTCTACTGCCAATACCAACTTTTCCTCGTTGGCGCATTTAGCGGACTCCTCTAAATGGCTAAGGACAGTGTCATTTGTGACAAAGGAGGATGAAGATAGAGTAAGCGCCGCCTGAGAGATCAGGGAACGAATATTTGCGCAAGCTCTCTTTATCGCCCCCGCGTATTCTTGTAAGCCAACTGAGGTCTATACGCACGCAAGAGGGGTATTGCATTAGAGGTGATTAAAAGATTAAAAGAGGTGATTAAAAGAGGTGATGTTACCGCACCTCGTATTCCCAAACTTCAATGAATTGGTCGACTGCTTCATTCAATTCATGAATATTACGTGCTATGCCGGACTGGAAGTAATCGCTTAGTCCAGCTGACTGGGTCAGTATCGCAATTTCAGAAGCGAGTTTTTGTACACTACTATGAAAAAAAATGCTGTTCCAGGATCCCACCTTCTCAATTCCTGCTTCCGCAAGTCGCTGCAAATAATACAAGTGAGAGGTAGCATTTAGGACAATAGAGACGCAAAAAAGTGAAGCTAAAGGGCTTGCATACCACAACTTCCTGCATGAGCTGTGCTACAGCCTGCCCTTGCAGTGATGGCAGAACCAATGGCGAATAGGTTGCATCGCAGGCCCAGCTAAGGCGGTCAACTGCCTCTTTGGTCAGCCTCACTGCAAACTCGCGATTAGCTGCCAGTGTTGCCAGTTTGGGATAGCGAAAACTAGCCTTTCAAGTTAGCATAATATTTACCCATAAGCTCAAAAACGTTGGAAATACCAGTGAAATTACTCTCTCTCCCTTAAGGACAATGATCCTAAGACAAGGCATTAGTTAAACGTTCAAAGACAAAAATTTACGAAAGCAGCATAAAAACGTGAGAGATGGAAACTTGAAAGATTAGAAAGGTGCTACAGGCGTTTCAAAAAAAATTAGGAGTGCATCGCCCTTAAGGCAGTCGTTTACTGTAGTATGGTAATGGACACCATACCTTAGTGGAGATGGTAATGATTTCGCAGGCGAGAGTGAGAGTTTCGTAATTATTGTTTAAGTCGCTCCATTGTTTCGAACCAGGTAAGTCCCAGCTTCGGCACTTAAGCAGAATTTGAAGTTCTTCCAAATGGTCTCCCAGTAGTGAACATAAACGAGGGAGTTCCTAAAATTGAATATGGTCAGTTGTAATGCGTGGAAGTATAATTTTTCTGTTGACTGAAACCTTAAGGTAATTGAGGCTTCAAGCTGTGCGTTATAAAATTTTTCGAACTTTTACGTGATGAGAGGTTGATAATCACATGAGAGTGAAAGACAGGTAATGCTAGTTTGAACTCAAATACTAAAATCTCATTGCTTCAACAATTAGAAGACAAAAACTTCGTACGCTTTCATCGGCTAAAATTCC